TAATGAAAATATAGAGTAATGCTACATCAACCTAATTTATTAGTGTAATTCATTGCAACCATCCAATAGCAAGTCTAATGATATATGAATTTCACTGTCAATCGAATCACTAAAGTGGATTAGGTCAATAAATTACAATTCAATAACGTTATTGAATATAAATTAGAGGTAACGCACATAAAAAGTTGGAATTTTTCACCATAACCATGCAAAACAAAAGCTTTTTCAACCAAAGGTAGTTTTGAGCTTATTTCACAAGCCTAAGAAATTGTTAAACAAGGGCATTCCAAGTGACGTTTTCACGTTAAAAACACTAGTTCAAATGATTTTAATGTCATTTTCTTTGTTTCAAAGATAGTGAGATCTATCTATGTGGTGAGTAGTGTGTAGTATAAAGATGTCATTTGGACTAATTTCCACGTAAAAGACGTTATTCAGAATGACATCTTTTAAAATACTTGATTTTGAAAAATAAGACCAAAACTAACAGAAGTTGGGAAGTAAGATTTTAAAATAAATGGGTATAGCGAAAAACTCCTTAGAGTTTAGGTTTTTTTTTTTTTGAAAGAAAGAACTCTAAGTTGAATGACAAATAAATGTACTAAATTTCTAAGCAGGGGTGGAGTGAAAAAATAGTTTTGGGTGGGCACTCGATGCTTTAACAAACTTTAGTTTTTGCCTTGTAATTAATAAAAATGATATGACATATTTATGTTTAATTACAACATGTTTAATATTAAAAATTCAATAAGGATAGAATGTCAAAAATCAATGGGCATAATGTATAAAATTGAAAATTTATACTACTTCTAAAAATCACTATAGTTGAAAAACTTTTGATTGACTGAATTAACCTTAGCAAAATAAATAATTACAATACTATTGATTTAAATTAATGACTTAAATAATATTTTGTGGAATGGTGATGGTTACAAACCATTTGGGTGTCTACTGGGCAATAGTTATTCTTTTCAGAAGTTGAATGGCCTCTCTTCATGAAGCATCATTCTTTTTTCTTTCTCTAAATAATAGAGGTATAATTGCAATAATTTATAAGGGTTTTCAGTAGTCTTTTCATTTACCATATTTTAATTTTTAAGGAGTACTGTTAATATATTTTATTCAAATTCCCTTCATTTTTCCCCAACCAAAGCAATTGCTCCTGAAATGAACTCATCACTTCTAGAACTCAAACTTTATTCTGGTTTTGTTTCTCTTCTGCATTGATTGACTCTTTTCATCCTCTTTGGACTTTGCAGCCTAGCAGTATGTCAAACTTGCAATTTGTTTTCTTTGTGACTGATCAATTGTAAGCATGATTTTTTACGAAGGTGTCTGTCGGTCAAAGATCCATATCTCCAACAAGGTACTAATCTCAATGAGTAGTTTGTTGGTGGTTATGGGCACTTTCTCTGTCATTTTTCATAGAGTTCTCTTTTTTTTGCATGTCATAATACTTTTGCATCTGGGAGGCAAAGAAACCTATTACAATAAATTGATTCGACTGATTAGTTAAAGTGCGTATGGATTAATTTGCACTTAGAGTCAAATAGTTTTTGGTGTATTGAAAACATGTCATTTCCACTTGAAGAAAAATTGATTGGGACGATGGAATACAAATGAACATATTGGTTTAAGTGTTTGACAGTTATGCATTTTCTTCTATTTTTATCCTCCAAATTTTGTGCCGGTTCTTCTATTCATAGTATTATTCTACGTCTATTTGTTGCGGGCATGTTATGAAAATAAATCAGTTTCTATCTCATTGTAAAAAATTGTTTGTGGACATCTATTATGGATATTGAGAACGTAATAAAGTCAATACGAAATTTCTAAGCAATTTGAAATAGGAATACTTCTTTCAAAACAACAACCTAATTATGGTCACCATTTGGTTATTCATGTCAATAACAAAGTTGGGCGCTATGAGAGTATGCTTGGTCCATGGCAACCTATTTTGAGTAAATTTTCCTATGCAAGTTTATTGTAATATTAATATGACGATGATATAACATTACAATAATAGTGACCAATATAACATTACAATAATAAAAAAATATAAAATATGTAAAAAGTGGAATAAACATTACCATTATATATCAATGAGTTTAGCAGTGCAGCCATTAAAAAAACTTCTTAGTTGGCGAGTGAAAACTTCTTTCACTTTGTTCTTTTATTTTCTTTTCATGTATTGTATACTTAAAGTTATTTTACAATTTTATAAGACTGATGGATTTTAATTGGATTTGCCTATATGCAATCTTATGCAGTTTTAAGTATTGAGATAATTTAGTTAGCTAAAATGTTTTTTTTTTTGGCATGATTGAGAAATGAAAATGGTGGTATGGATATAAATAATAGATAAAGATAGTTATATTTAGAATTTTATTGTTGTTTGTAGAAATTATGGGTCCAAGCTTGTATTCTTTTCTTTTTTTTCACCTTTTGACCACTAAATCCAGATAAAAGTATAATTCAGTTACCATCAAACCACATTATATAAAGCACGCACATACAAATTTTAAAAAATATTAATTGTAAGATATTTTAGTTTATTTGTAATGGTATGGGTATAAATGTTTTATCCTAACAAGGGTTACTTCTTGTTAACTACAAAAAAATATAAAACAGTAGTTGAGAATGGTCCACGTACAACGTATGTGTGCATCATCTAGAAAAAAAAAAAAAAAAAACTAATTAAGCCTATGCTTATATTTTGGAGGTGGGGTGTGACAGTTATTATGGCTATTTGTGTTGCTTCTTTTTTTTATCTTGTCTAGAAAAACCCAGAGTATTATTTATATGTAAGAATCTGAATATTTGTATAAAAAATTTTAGAGACATTCTTGATAGTTGTCATGTGGCAAAATCTTAGCCATTTATTGGAGGCCAAGAGCCTATAAATAGGGGTAAGGCGCACTTACCAAGTTTCAAGTTCTATTCTTCAATGCACTGCTACATTCTCATCAAACTATTATTGTCCCTCGTGTTTTTCTAGCATCTTGAGCTAGTTAGGTTGAAATGCTTGATTAGGTTGTGTTTGGCGCAATTTCTTAAAATAAAGTTCATCTAAAGGATGGACTTGATGAACATGTCACTTTTGATATTTTTTTTTTCAAACAAATCAACACTTTATTTTATAAAAAAAGAATTATAATCAAGAAAAAGACAGACAGACCTGTTTTTACGATCAACTCAATACAAAATTCCAAAAAAATCAAAGAATGCATGTCTTTTTCCTCAAAAACTTCACTCCCTATCTGTCCTGCCACTTGATCAGCTTGGCTTGAAGAGGAATCCGCAATTACTGGGAAAAATCAGTAGAAGCCCCATCTCTAACAGCCTGATTTGCAAAGAAATAATCCATTTGATTAGCTTCTTTAAACACATATACCAAGCTGAAATTCAGTCTCCCCAACCTCTCCATAATCTCATTAAATAAAGGCCAAAATTTTTAAGCTTTCAAATGCCCGTATAATACCATCTGCACCATAACAGCAGAATCAACTTCAATTTGAAGTTGATAATCTGTTAAGCCATATTACTCAAACAATACTAAACCATCCTTTAATACTCTCAGCTCGGCCTCCATATTGGAGCATTCTCCATAGTAAAAAGAACCTACAAGGACCAAATTCCCCACCACCCCAGCTTTGCCTGGATTCCCCTTAGCTGCCCCATCCACATTCAACTTCAACTACTCCAGTTGGAGGACACCAGTTAACCCATAAACTCTTCACCTGCATCCTGCACCTTACATCAATATTCAACTGTTGCAACAATTCCTGTCCAACCAAACTCCCAGAAACCCTTGGTTTTACACCATAAGCCTGCCACTTTAAAACAAAGCAAATCCTCAAGACAAGCAGCCTTCTTCATGAACCCTTCTGCACTTTTCTCTTCACAATTGTCAATTCACCACCAAAGGCAATCCTCTGAGAAGCTGGAATTTATATAATTGAATTATGTTTGATTTATAATGATATTCTTAACTCTTATGACCAAACTAATTTCTTACCATGAACACTCAATCAATTCATCTAGATTAAAAAGTTACACAGTGTATGGATACTTTGGGTTCGGGATACATCATGAACACGGCCCATGGCCCAATAAGTACTACTCTCTCTCCCCATGGTTATTACAAAAAACCCACAAAGATTGTTGGACATGAACTCAACCGACTGCAGGATGATATTGAATAAAGTATGTTCAAAATATACATATATTTCGTTGTATTTGTTCATTAAAAAAAATTAATTTTTTTAGGGTACATTTGATAACGTTTTTGTTTTTATATTTTTTTTATAAAAACAATAGAACTAGTTTTATTTTTTTGTGATAAAAATTAAATATATAAAATATGTTTTATATTCAAAAAATTATAAAAAAACAATATGTTTGGTATTGTATATTTTAGGTAATATTTTATTGATATTCTTTTGGTTAATATTTTAATCCTAAATTCCTCAATTGGTGATCTCTCAATTGGAGATATTCTTTGTGATCAAAAAAAAAATTGGAGATGTCAACAAGAACACAATCACGGGCGAGACCTCTTGCTGGGACACATAGACACACACACAAGATACACACATACATATATACACACAGATTTATATATACAGCACACACACACATATATATACAGAGGAACGAGAGAAACAGATGATGTAGGTTTCGTCTTCGACTTCGATTTCAGAAGAGAGAAACCATCGTGAGAGAGGAACGGCTTCTTCGGCTTCGGTTTAAAGATTTGGACCTTGTTTTCAAAAAATGCGACAAAAAAAAAATTCACAAACACGTCAATTTTTTTTTTTTTGCAATAAGTGAAAAAAAAAAAAAAACACACACACACATGGTTATCAAATGGTACCTTATTTATTTATTGAAGAGAATTTTAATAAGGCAAGTGAACACACGTACACACAAATGAAAATGAAACCTTAAATCAATGACAGAAAGAGAAACAAATCGGAAACATATGATGACCAGCACATCCTCACATTGCCATTGAAACTACACAAATTCCACAATATAAGTATTTACGGTCAGCATAAAATATAGAATGAGTTCAAGATCAAAGAAAAGCCGAAAACACACAGGTTTCCTTCTATGCTCCTTAAACTCTGATATACCTTTTTTTTTTTTTCATTCATGTATTCATCTAATTGAGTACAAAAGATGGCAATGAGCCAGACTGAGGGTCACAAAATTTGAGCATTTGCTTGAAAGCCTTAATATGTTGGTCGGCAACATAATCTCCGTAAACGAACTCTTTCCTGAAGCATGAGAAAAACAACAGCAGATGCTGAAGCTAAGCATTTCCTCTCAGTATAGAGACAACCAGTAAAATTCTAAGACAATGCAAGAAAACCAGGAAGATTGTGAAGCTCGTAACAAATGTTTCAACACCACTTGCCTNGAGACAACCAGTAAAATTCTAAGACAATGCAAGAAAACCAGGAAGATTGTGAAGCTCGTAACAAATGTTTCAACACCACTTGCCTCAATGTCATCATGGTCATATCGAATCAAGAAAAGACACCTGCAGCCTCTTATATCATGCAATCTCCTTTGAATTTCTAGGACACGAGCATCATAGTATCTTGCTTGATCACTCCTCTCCTGATAATGTATTAAGTGAGCATGTGATTAAGTCTCAAGATACTTTCTGGGAGATTAAGAAATGTAAAAGAGAGAAATTCAAATTACCTGGAAGCAGAGTACGAGATCTCCAACTTTTACTTTCTGGCATTCAGAATGCTCCAAAGCAACAGAGCGTTCGCGCACTGCCTTTTTCACATTTACCCATTCATCCTCCTCTGCCCCAAAGCCAGCAAATCTTACACGAACTTCCTGCAATGAATGACAATTCATCAAACTTGAGCTTGGCACAAAGAAAGTGACAATTCCAGCCTTCTTTATAGTGCTTTTTCTTTGCTCTTTCCAATAATCACATAGTTCATGACATGCTCCACACCATGAAGTAAAACTTTCTTGCTCCATAAAACATCAGAAAGCATAAGAAATAAATAAAGGAAGTAAAGAAACAGAAACAAAATAGAAGCTGATTCTCCACATAATAGATTTCAATGGTCCTTGAAACTTCATTCCTTGTCCTAAATGAAAAACCAGCCTAGTTTAAAGCAAACTTAAAACCATGGTCAAGCAGCAAGCCTCTAAAAACCAACAGCGCTCATATTGAGAATAGGAGGGCAGCTACTACAACCAGCATGACAAAGCCAAAGCAGCACACTCCTGATAGAAAATGTGTGAAACTGTTGAATAATTAAGGCAACCAAAAGCATTATGCTGATGATATCAAAGGTTGAACACTAGTCAAAAATGACCACCCAATGGAACTTGAGGAAAATATAGAAACGGTAATAACCGAAAATTCAGTGAATCATATTTTAATTACTTACAGCTTCACCTGAACTAAGAAATCTGTGGGTCAGAAATGTATCCACATCGTACCTGTAAAACCCCCAAAAAAAAAAACAAGAAAAGAAAGGGGTGATAACTTGTGAACATGACCCAAACTATTCTTTGAAAATGATCAGATAATTCAATATGAGAACCAAATTAAGCAAGCTAGTACGAACATATATCACAGTGACCAACAAACAAGATTTTATTTCCACTTTTTGCAAGTTTATGTGGGACAAGCCAGCTAGTTGTGAAAATATGTAACAGGATGACAGCAACAAGTGAAACCAGGTTTGCACATTCACTTTTTGGCTGAGCTTTCTTGTGCAGTTGCTTGCTTGCTAGGTTGCCAGTTTAGGGTGCTCCGGTTAATATGACTATCTTGCTTCCTCTTACTGGTCATCATACCAATTAGTAGAGCAAGGGGAGCCAGTTTTCCCATTTACAACTATAAGGGAGTATATGTCAGCCAATTTAAGCCATCTTAGGAGGAAAAACTGAAAGAACTAGATATGGTATGAAGTCAACAGGTACAAATGTAAGAACAAAACCAGATGAATGGATTGGACCCTCATTTAAATGATGATAAGTTAGGTTTAGAAGACATTGTTAGAACCTTGAAAAACCAAGTGGCAAACCTCTTAAAGTATGAACTGGCATCAAATTCTCAGTCAAATCTAGCAGTCAACTATGGGTATTCTACCGCGGGGGGGGGGGGCCATTGCCTGGCAGGCACCCTCAAAAGCTATGCTATTGATACATGACTTTATCAAAATGAATTGACGCATTTAGAGAACAAGCAATTACTACAACAATCTGGAAACCAATTTTAAGAAGTCAACATTAGACAGCATAGCAACATTCCCATGGAAGTCAAATGGATAAAAAGGAGATCATCTNAAACCAATTTTAAGAAGTCAACATTAGACAGCATAGCAACATTCCCATGGAAGTCAAATGGATAAAAAGGAGATCATCTGCCATTAATGCAACAATTGCATCAATTCAAACACAAACAATACAATCTTCTTGAGCACCATTACATTTATATAAGTTGATTATGTGATCTACACTCCACTAATGGTTACGAATAACCATTTGGTAGGACTAAAATAAAAAGACATGCATGGATAAATCCAAGGAGGTAATGATACAATACCAAGGAACCATATGGATAATTTAAACAGAAGAGAGGACTATCACATTTCTTGCTTGCCATATGTAGACTTACCATGCCCCATCTTTTGATGACCTAGCCTCAAATTCCAATTCTGATAGATCTGGAGTCTTTTCACCTGAATTGAGAACAATGTTTGTCAAAACCAGGCAATATTAACTTCATTCTCCAAAACATGTAGCAGTTCTGTTCAATTTCGGTAAGTAATTTCCTGGTAAATGATTGATGGGTACAAAATAAAGGGCAAGCGAGCATAAATTTAAAATATGAGGAAAGGCCATTCACGCCACAAAAGATAGAGAGTAAAAATAAAATTATCGTTAGTTCAGAGGACGGCCTTAGATGAATGCTAACTATAAGTATAAGCAGATACAGAGAACAACTGACAGCAAATCTGTCAACCTGTCTGAACAATCTCGAGTCTTGATTAATTCCGAATCAAAATTGGTTTGATCAAATCTATCAAACCTAGTATTGGGCTAACACTTGTTCTCCATCTCTCAACACATGCAAAAACAGATATAAGTGGTTCAAGACTTGGTAAGTTTGAAGCCCTAAAATATTAAGGGGATGAACATGCAATAGTAATGTGAATGATGAAATCACATACAGTTAAGCACAAAAAGAAAAGTTAAGCATGTGAGGAGAGGGGTTTTGGCCATGGATCTCTACTTGCTTTAACACCATTGATTTTTCTTTTGCAATGGAAACAACANATAGTTAAGCACAAAAAGAAAAGTTAAGCATGTGAGGAGAGGGGTTTTGGACATGGATCTCTACTTGCTTTAACACCATTGATTTTTCTTTTGCAATGGAAACAACAGTTTAAGGCCAATAAATGAGCATATTTTGAAGAAGTTATCAAGCAACTACTTGCAAGCACGTCCTCACAACTGAAAGTCATATAAACAACCTTTAGGCATTTGAGAATTTTCATTTGCTTTTTCTGGAGGACAAGCTTCTGGTACAATTGACAATTTGTTGAGGGCACCAGGAGAAGTATTTTTGGATGGACAATCTTTCTGCCTGTTCTGGAACCAACTTTGCACCTAAAATATATATGTAAACATAGGAGTACCTCAGACAGTCAAGCACAAACAATGCAATTAAATTTAATTGTAATAATCAGAAGATGAAGAGAGTGGAGACCTCAGTCCACTTCACACTTGGCTTTCCAGCACGGTCTTTACAGCAACTGCAAGAATGACAAGAAATAATAAAATAACTTAAATCCCACACAACCAATTAACCCAAAACAAATATTGAAATATTAAACTTCCAAACAACCGGTGATTAATAGAGGACTATTTAAGGAACATGAAATATAACTCACTTGAAATTTTTTGCAAGTTTTTTACAAAATTCCTGCTCCAAAGACTGTTCTCCACATTCCTTGAGTAATGTCTCCATTTTCTCAATCTGTTTTCAGTTGGGAGGAGATACTTTGTTATATCATGCATCTTAGCAAGAATAACGGGTGAAAAAAAAAACCAAAAAAACAAGGTTTGGTAGTAATGCCCTTGCTCCCATCAAAACTATACTGCAACTCACAAAATGGTTACTAACTCCAGAATGAATTAATTTTGACATTGTTCAGCAACAAAGGGCAAACTAATGGATTTTTAGTGATTTCAATTGCAATAATTCCCAAAAACATAAGAAATAATGAAGCTCCCATCCTACCCAATACGCACAAACATTTGGGAGGCAAGATGATATGAGAATAGTAACTCCAGACATGAATCATTTCCATACTTTTTTCTGTCTCACAAACTACAAACACTAAATTGAGATTTGAGCACTGACAAGGAATATCTCAACTTTGTGCAAATCAGAATGATTAATTGATATCCACATTTTCACCCCCAAAACAGAGGCCACAATTTATGGCATCACAATTACAACATAACAAATTGATTCACATTTTAAATTGTACCAAATAATGCATCAGCATTACAAACAATATCTGCCATTCCCAACATTTTTTTCACATTCCCTTAGCTGCTAAGTGTGATTTGCAGCTAATAGCACAACCCCAATGAGGCAGTAATGGACTAATACCCACATTTTCTGGTAATCAAGTACAAGAATTCAAGATCTTGCAACTACAACCAAACTGATTCATGCAAATAAAAACAAAACATAGACATAATATGCATCAGTATACCACTTACAAATGTAGCATTCCAACACACTCCTTCTAGACTGCAGATATGAAACCGAGATTAGCAACTAATATTCCAGATTTGTGCAAGACCTTAATGACTAATAAATAAATGCATGTCATTCCAGCTAAGATCAACAACTCTTCTTTAAAATTTGGACAGGTTTAAAATGATTAACAGTTCCATCACAAGCAAATGCCAAAAATGTATTGACATAATTACCACAAGCCAAGAAATATATCAACTGTACCACATAAACCCAGAATATCAGCATAACAAACATAAATTTCACATCCATACACTTTCTCAAGAACCATTTAAAAGTGAACTTGGATTCCAAAAAAATGGGAGTTGGGACCAAAAATAGTCTATATAATAAGGAAGCTATAAGTTTGAATCTTATCTCCATATATGTTTTCTGCTCATTTCTATCACATCACCCATTTCTATAACAAATTAATTCATTTAATTTTTAATTATTTTTTGACTCAATACAATATTTATTTCAAACATGTGTGATATTTTTGTTGAGGTCATGTATTTTGAAAAAATTTTGTCCATTTTTTTTAATAGAAATTAATTTTAAATTATGTAATTAAATATAGTATGATCATTTTTTTTAAAATTAATGGATAGTAGAAAAGAAACATTATTATTTCATATAATGAGATCGATTTTNGGATTTTGAAAAGTTTTGTCCATTTTTTTTAATAGAAATTAATTTTAAATTATGTAATTAAATATAGTATGATCATTTTTTTTTAAATTAATGGATAGTAGAAAAGAAACATTATTATTTCATATAATGAGATCGATTTTTTGGGCGCTCAAATTTTATATTATATCGTGCCAGAAGGCCGGGTTATGACTACTAATTTCANTTTTGGGCGCTCAAATTTTATATTATATCGTGCCAGAAGGCCGGGTTATGACTACTAATTTCACATTACATATTCCGTTAAGAGCACACTGATACCCACAATCCCCCCTACTCAGAAACTAATTTCTCAACAACTCAGCTAAAATAAGGCAAGATTAACAGATAAATGTTTCAACTAAAGCCATTCAACAGAAGGCGTGATCAGTAATGAGCAGGGAATAGGCTTTTATGAACATGTGTGCCTGATTTGAACGGTTCATTACGAGCCACATTACCTGCCGTTAACATGCAGCTTCATTCTAGGCCTTTGCCATCAAAACCCACGTCTATTTAACATTCTTATACATTTTTTTTCACTGACCCAATAGATTAAAGAACTCAAACTAACAGCTGATCATTCAAATTTACACATGATTAAAATGATTAATCTATACCCAGATTGAGGAGGAAAAAAAAGAGAAACGGTTGAAATTTGACCTCATTTGCAGTAAAGCCAGTGAAAACCTCTCTCTGTCTAGGACGCAGCCGATCCATGACCAATCAAGTCAGTCCTCAAAAGCCTCAACAGAAGTCACAAAACCCTAGCTTTGGCGTCGATGAAGAATCGGAATCCACTTCACAGCATTCTCAGCCTACATATTTTGTGTTCCAAGGGTACAGCTTTTGAGCGCCCTTTCAAATTTTCTCACTTTACTAGTTTTCTTTCCTCATTTCCTGTACCCATAATGACAACTTTTATGGGATACCTTAAAATTTACGGACTCCGGTTTGGGCCTTTTCTGAATTTGGTGCGACAAAATGTAACACCATTCGNGGATACCTTAAAATTTACGGACTCCGGTTTGGGCCTTTTCTGAATTTGGTGCGACAAAATGTAACACCATTCGATTATTCTTGAATCGATAGAAAATTAATGAATTTGAGTTTAATTTTAATAGATTTAGCTGATAAATTGATAAACTCGCCTAACCCACATAATAAACCACTCATGTTTGGAGGAAGTGTTTTAACTCGATGTAATGGGTAGGACTTAATTTTTAAAAGATGATATGTATTTAAATTGTAATTTTTATGAATTTTATTTAAGTTGTGCAGTATTTTTCTTTAATTCGTTAACCATCAAATATATGTTTAATACATTGGCATATCACTCGATTGCCTGTATAATACCCAATTACTTATTTATTACTCAATTACCCATTTATCATTCGATTACTCTTTTAATAGACGACCCAATTTGTTATAAAATTAGGGATAACTCGTGCCTAAAGGTACAGTGTAACGTAAGTGAGAAATGATAGATTTTGAGAATGGAGAAAAATTCAATGTAAATAATTTTCAAAGCGATGTTTGTGGCCGTTAGATGATTTTATTTGATATCGTCGAATTAGTTTATTGAAGTCTATTCTGTTTTATATTATAGATTAGAATTAGCAATTAAGAAATTTTTTTCCTAAAATTAATGAGTAACACAGGTTTGAATCGTATAACTTGTGCAATAAACAAGTTGTATATGAATTAAGTTATTTTTTATATGAACTTACAAAGACTTTATACAAATCGAACGATTCTGCATGATTGTTGGGCCTAATCTCAATGAGTAAATATCTCCACTTGTGACTTGGATATTCTATGTCATTTTCTCCTTTCATGTATTGCTATTGTGTCCGAAAAAAAAAATCTAAAATTTACATAAATATTAATTGGTTCTGAAATCGTCAATTGTTACAATCAAGTGATTAAGTTTTAAAATGCATTTCAATAGTGCCCTTTTTATGTAAGGTCATTAATAATTTGAAATGAAAAGCATCACCTGAACACCGTGACCCTGTCCCAATTAAGGGGTTAATTTTCATTAACTCGGCCCTAATGTTATATAGTTTGTATCTTCAAATTACATGTCGACTCATTTGTTGGAAATNATAATTTGAAATGAAAAGCATCACTTGAACACCGTGACCCTGTCCCAATTAAGGGGTTAATTTTCATTAACTCGGCCCTAATGTTATATAGTTTGTATCTTCAAATTACATGTCGACTCATTTGTTGGAAATTTGACTATTTCATTGTCACTGACTTTGATCTTTGTTCAACCTTTTGCTCCTCTTAGTTTCAAGTGGATCTAAATTCGAGAATTGTGTTTAGCAACAAAAAGAAGGTGAGGTTCCGTTTTCTTACTCGAAAATATTTACAAGGGGAGGTCTCGAAAGGCATATGAGTGTGTCTCTNCAAGTGGATCTAAAATCGAGAATTGTGTTTAGCAACAAAAAGAAGGTGAGGTTCCGTTTTCTTACTCGAAAATATTTACAAGGGGAGGTCTCGAAAGGCATATGAGTGTGTCTCTCGTAGATGAATACCAACTCAATTTGCTCTTATTATGTGAGAGTATCCGCCGATTAGTGTCAAGTTGGCCCCTAGGATACTATTCGCCTTGGGAGTGATTTGGCCATCAAACTACTCTGAGGTAAGAGACAGATACAGAAACCCTCTGCATACGGGTTGCTCAATTCTATAGAATTTGGACATATGGCGATGGTTGGATTTTTATTTATTTATTTGATATAAGGTCTTCAGACTTATGTCGACTACTCTTTTAAGCTCAAATATTGGCCAACGTAATTTGAATGGGTTTAGAATATATTCCACGAGAAATAAATGTGACTAAACCTTAGAGGGTATAAAAAGTGTTGAATTTAAGACTTTTTAATTATTTGATGCTAAACTCAACTATTGAATCACACTAAAAAACTTTATAGAGTTTGATTTTGCCCATAGGAAAAGCCCAAACAAACTTGGCGGAAATCCATTTTAATTGGGCTTGATGGAAGCCTAATTCGAAAAATTACATTCTTTATTATTTGCTAATTTCCTATTTTCACCCTTGTAGTCACACTTGACGAGGTTAGATTCCCTTCAATATTTTTTTTTTAAGTTATTGATATATCATTCATCAAGCATTGGTCGAGAAAATACTCGTTACGATGAAGACAATATGTTATCATTATTATATGTCAGCGTCCAATAAGAACGTAATAAGTAAGGCAATTGTACATATGTCACCGTCCAATAATATGTCATTTGGTAACCACCTCATGTAAAAAAAGGACGTTTACTTTATTTGTTTTGATATATTTATACTAGATGGTAATACTACGAAACAATAATGATGATAACACCGGTGGGACTTAAAACCATTGTTTCAAATTTTATTGGAGAATTCAAGTGAAAAGCAGTTTTTTGTTTTTGGCTACATGATGTCCAGACTTGTGCCGATTATTCTCTCAAACTCGGATATTGGTTACTGTAGCTCCAGTAGGTTTAGAACATGTCCCCCGACTCCCTAAGGAACAAAGATGGCTGACCCTTAAAGGGTATAAGAAATGTTAAACTTGAGATCTCTGAAATATCATATCTTTAAGTTATTAGAGATCATTCTTAACTACTAAATTACCCGTAAGAGTTGGTTGTAGCTAAATATCCCTAGTCATTTTATCCCAAAATTACAATAAAATAGATCACTATTATAGTGACGGAATGAAAAAATTCAAAGTAAGTGGGAGAGGGATAGACTATAATAATCCCAACTAGGGGAATAAAAATCCATGTTAAATATTAGCCGGCTTCTGACATCATTTTGAAAATATTATATTATATGTATATAGACAAATATTCACTCACAAAAGCTAATAAAAATATATAATATAAATTGAACTCCATGCACAACTGTATAATAAATTATTTAATTTTTAAATGTGTTGGTTATAAGGTTCCAAAATTACATTCATAAATTAGAAATATCATTTTAATTTTATACATATTTTTAGGCATAGATCTATACTTAACAAACAAGAATTTAAGTAGTAATAAATAAGCACGCAAACAAGTATAAATTAGTCGAATTCTCGAATTGATAATTTAAATTTACGAATTTAATAAAATAAATTGCGAAATCATGGAGAAAATGCTCTCAAAACGCGAATTCACGTGCAAAACGCCCAGTAGCAGTTGCATAACTCATGGCAAGGAATTTTCTGCTTCTTTTTTAGGAGCTAAATAGAAAAATGGCGGTCACTTTGTGATGGAGAAATTGGGATACTCATCTTTAATTTTCAGCCTTTTACAAAACAAGCAGGTGACTTGATGCAATTTGAGGTTTAAAACGACAATATTAAGTGGGATTTTTTTTTATTTTTAATATTAATTTTTTTAAAAAAATTAATATATTTCTAATTTATTACGTAAGAGAGATACAGAAGAAGAAGGACGTGCTAGTGTTGTCGAGAAAAATAATTTAATTTTTCTTTTGTTTTATTTTTTATCGGAGAGAGTTTAATTTCAATTTTTTTTATAATTTGTTTACTTATTTTTACATAGAGAGAGAGAGAGAAAGAGGGTAGGAGTAAATATAAATTGATTTTTGAATATTTTTTTATTTTTTTAACTTATGATTTTTAGGTTTTCAATGTTATGGATTGGATCATAAATCCAAATTATTATAATAAAAATTTTAATTGTATTTAATTTTTTGTGGGTTTTTTTTTAAGGTTTAAAATTTAATATATTTAAATTTTTTATCAGTTAATAATATATTTAAAATTATGGGGTCTTTTTAAAATTTAATATTGTTTTTGCCGCCCTAAAAACAAGTTTGCTATATTCCATGAACTTTTTTTCCTTAGAATATTTTTCCCTCTATAAGACTTTACACCAGAACAACACATACTCTAAATTGCCCACACCACATGTCCTGATATAAGAAGGAAAAAAAAGTAAGATAATAAAGAGGAGAACAAATATTCCTTAATATATATTGTATATGATTCCGCCTTGTTTTGCTTCTTTGCTTTCTTTTAGGTGAAATGGTGCATCCAATTCATATTCTTAAATCTTGCACTATTTTTTTTTTTTTGTTACCGTGTTTAAGTTTGTGTTGATTATTCCTTCGAACTCTAAAATTAGTCATCATAGTTCGAGTTAATTAGTTAATTTAAAGACATATCACATAAGAAACAAGAATGACAAACCTTTTAAAGAATATAAAAAATATCGAATTTGATACATCTAACGTGTCGGAGAACATNGGATGACAAACTTTTTAAAAAATATAAAAAATATCGAATTTGATACCTCTAACGTGTCGGAGAACATATACCCACACACAGAGAGAGAGAGAGAGAGTCTCTTCAATGAAAAAGGGCAATGAAAAAGCCAATTTGGAAGGCAAGCATAATGAAATTTAAAGATTACACTAATGAATCTCCCTTGTAATCCTTTGGGCTCTTATTAAAGGTTTCCTAGTCATCTTGTGACCCTCTAGAAGAGAATACTTTTATATCTACTTTTTTTTTCTTCTTTTGGGTTGTGCAAAAATAATTGGAGGCTAAACTAGTAGTGGGGGGATTCTATCGTGATTTGACCATAGTGGCATCAACTTGTTGGAAACAATAACGCGACGAACCCAAATGAGAAAAAGCATAAGCATTTACTCAAGCAATTTGAGTCATATTTTGAGACGAATCCCATCAGAGATTTGGAGCATTATTCAAGATTAGTATTGTTACGAAATAAGAAACTTTATACTACTGCAAGGGTGTTTTTTTGAGCAATAGTTAGAGATAGTATTACCAAGGTGTAACCATCCGAGCGTCCTGCAAGCACAAAACAAGGTTAGAAAGGGGTTAGATAGTGTCTAGCTTATTAACTCTAAAGTCCAAGGCCGTAGAT